AGGATTTACGTGTCAATGTCTGCCTGGATTTAGTGGTCAACGATGTGAAGATCGTAAGAATATCACATCGTCAAGCCATTGCATGTTTTATTGCTTTCTCTATCATTAGGCGATCCTTGTGCTTTACAACCATGCATGAATCAAGGCACTTGCATAAGAGAAAATGGTGGTTTTCGTTGTACATGTCCACCAGGATACTCAGGGAATCTATGTGAGGTACAAGATACATGCCAAAGTAATCCATGCATGAATGGTGGTACATGTCAATCAATAAATGGAAATGGTGGCTATCAATGCTTGTGTTCCAATGGTTTTAGTGGGCCCCGTTGTGAAACAAGTGCGTTTTATTAGTTTAGACAAAAAGATTTTCTTTTTTCGTCAGAATAGATTTGATCAGATAACTTTGTAAGATTGATCATGTTTTTATGCTTTGAATAGAGTGTAGAAGATAATGGATTTTATTTTTTTGAGCTAACTTCTCGTTTCCAAAGACCAATTTATTTACTAGGAGATGCTTGTACTCCGAATCCTTGTTTGAATGGCGCAGCATGCATTCCGAACGACTTTGGAGGATTTAGTTGTCAATGTTTACCTGAATTCACTGGTCAACGATGTGAAGATCGTAAGGATATCATCTAGTTAAGCTATTGCATGTTTCATTACTTTGCTATCATTAGGTAATCCTTGCGCTTCACAACCATGCATGAATCAAGGCACTTGCATGAGAGAAAATGGTGGTTTTCGTTGTGTATGTCCACCAGGATACTCAGGAAGTCGATGTGAAATACAAGACGCATGTCAAAGTAATCCATGCATGAATGGTGGTATATGTCAACCTATGAACGGAAATGGTGGCTTTCAATGTATATGTGCCTCTGGTTTTAGTGGTCTCCAATGTGAAACTAGTACGCTTACTACATGCTTCTATAAATTGAGAAGTTATTTCTTGTTTTGATTTTGTATGATATTCTGTTTTTTATAGGAGATCCATGTGCAACAAATCCTTGTTTAAATGGTGGTCAATGTTTTCCGACTCATAATGGTGGATTTATGTGTCAATGTCCTACTGGATTTAGTGGTCTACGATGTGAAGATCGTAAGGATATCGTCTAGTTAAGCTATTGCATGCTGTAATGTTCCATCATTACTAGGTGATCCTTGTGCTTCTCAGCCATGCATGAATCAAGGCACGTGCATAAGAGAAAATGGTGGTTTTCGTTGTACATGTTCACCAGGATACTCAGGGAATCTATGTGAAATACAAGATGTATGTCAAAGTAATCCATGCATGAATGGGGGTACATGTCAGCCTTTGAATGGCAATAGTGGCTTTCAATGCATATGTCCCTCTGGTTTTAGTGGTCCGCAATGTGAAACTAGTATGCTTACTCAATATTTCTATTCATTTAGAAGTTCATGCATGCAAAGCATATCTACATAAAATTGTTGCTTTGTATAGAAAATCCATGTGCTCAAAACCCTTGTTTGAATGGTGGTCAATGTGTTCCGAATAGTTTCGGAGGTTTTACATGTGCCTGTGTTCCTCCCTATACAGGTCAACGATGTGAAGATTGTGAGTTGAAGTGTATGCTATAAATATCCTAGCTATGTTGTGTGATACTGCATTTGTTCTAGCAAATCCATGTGCAAGTAACCCGTGTGGTAGCAATGGGCAATGTATTCAAAGTAATGGTGGCTTTTATTGTGAATGTAATCTCGGATATTTTGGAAATCAATGCGAGCGTAAGTTATCACTGTACAGTATGTTATATAGCATGTAATATTCAATTTGCATGATGCTAGGCCTTGTTTGCACGCCTAATCCTTGCACGAATGATGGTACATGTGAACCTCGTCCTAATGGTGTCTTTCATTGCAACTGTCCACCTGATTATGAAGGACAACGTTGCGAATTTCGTATGTGTCCTAGAGATGACAAAAATGAACAAAATAAATAAATAACAACCGATCATATTTATTTTTAGGTAAAGTTTGTGAACCCAATCCATGTATCAACGGCGGAACATGCAGTCCATATGGTCTCGATACATATTCTTGCAATTGTCCATTTGGTTATACGGGTAGAAATTGTGAAAATCGTAAGTGACATATAGGGATTATTTTCATCAGATACTAAGTATTTTTCTTCAGGTGATCCATGTATTCCTAATCCCTGCCAAAATAGCGGTCGTTGTCGATCAAATATAGCTGCAGGCACCTATGTATGTGATTGTCCTGCTAATTTTATTGGTCAAAATTGTGAAACAAGTAAGTTATTATTATAAGCATGAAAAATACATAATTTATATATGCATGTACGATGCTTTTTCTTCATAATCATTTGAAACACTAGATGTATATGCTAATAATGCATATGAAAATAATGGAAGATGTCGTATGTTAATTAGCTATGAGTACGAGCATATCTATATATCACACAGAATAAGTACTCTGAAATTTTTCTATTTGGTTTTCTATTGAGAAATAAATGGAAAAGAAAATTCGATTATTGTCGTGTTCAATTAATAAAATGTTATTTTTTTTTAGGTGATCCTTGTGCAACAAATCCATGTTTGAATGGTGGTCAATGTGTACCGAATGGTTATGGCGGATTCACATGCAGATGTTCAGACCCTTATACAGGTCAACGTTGTGAAGATCGTAAGTTCATATAACTACATCGAGTTGTTTTGGTCATGATAATTAGTTTTCAGATATCGATCCATGTATTAGTCAGCCGTGTCGAAATGGAGGTACTTGTCAACCACTCAGCAGTAATTCGTATCAATGTATCTGTCCATCTGGTTACTCAGGCTTTGATTGTTCAATACGTAAGTTGCCCGTGTTTGATAAGAATAAAGATAAAATGAGATGAATAAAATATATAGGTGATCCATGCGCAACAAATCCTTGTTTGAATGGTGGTCAATGTTTTCCGACTAATAATGGTGGATTTATGTGTCAATGTCCTAGTGGATTCAGTGGTCAACGATGTGAAGATCGTAAGAATATCGTCTGGTTAAGCTATTGCATGTTTTATTGCTTTGCTATTGTTAGGTGATCCTTGTGCTTTACAACCATGCATGAATCAAGGCACGTGCATAAGAGAAAATGGTGGTTTTCGTTGTACATGTCCACCAGGATACTCAGGGAATCTATGTGAAATACAAGATGCATGTCAAAGTAATCCATGCATGAATGGTGGTACATGCCAACCTATTAATGGCAATGGTGGTTATCGATGTGTATGTCCCTCTGATTTCACAGGTTCACAATGTGAAACACGTAAGAAAGCTATGTAGTAATGTAAAAGTTTATATTTTATATGCAATAGATTAAAAATTAAAAAATTGATGAGATTATAATTCTTGAAATACAATTAATCGTTTTAGGAGATGCATGTATACCAAATCCTTGTCTAAATAATGGTGCCTGTATACCAAATGGATATGGCGGTTTTACATGTCAATGTCCTGCAGGTTTTTCTGGTCAACGATGTGAAGATCAAGATAGTTGTGCTGCTCAACCATGTCAAAATCGAGGTGTTTGTGTTAGTTCAGAAGATGGTTCATATGTATGTCAATGTCGTACAGGCTTTCAAGGACGACATTGTGAACAAAGTCAGTTGAATATAATTTTAAAACATGTTTGTTGACTTATTTTTAATTTTAGTTGATATATGTGGAGTGAAAAATCCATGTACTTGTGGTACATGTCAAAATGATCCATCTAATCCACAAGGTTTTATTTGTTTCTGTCCACCTGGTTATTCGGGTAGCCGATGTGAAACAAGTAAGTGTTGAAAATATGAAAAATATTATCGTTTGTAAAACATATATTTTTCTTCTTTTAGTACTCAGCTGTATGGATAGCGGAGAGGAATGTTTGAATGGAGGTCAATGTACGCAACGTCCACTTGGTGATTATGTTTGTTCATGTCCTTATCCTTATTGTGGTCTTCGTTGTCAATCTCAACGACCATACTGTGGTATATAGCTTAAACGAATTGTTCAATATCTTGAACATATAGAATGATATTTTAGGTACGATGAATACGTATCCACCACCTGCAACTACAGGAGGTTCTGTTTCTTCATGTTCTTCAAGCCTATGTAATAATCATGGTATATGTCAAGAAACTGGTCATGAAAGTGGCATTCAATGCTATTGTTCAACAGGCTGGTCAGGTTCACGATGTCAATATAGTAAGTTACAACTTCAATCGATTTCAAATAAAAACAATTATACAGATAAATATGAAATATCTAAATGAAAATTAAATAAATAGGCTTATCATGTAAGGATCAGCAATGTCACAATGGTGGAGTATGTCGTGAGATAGCAGAGAATATCAGTGTATGTCAATGTTTACCACAGTTTTGGGGAGAACGATGCGAGTAAGCTAATAATAGCATGGTTTTTCATTCACCCAGTTTTCTTTGATGTGATTTTTGATTGTCAAATTAGTTATAAAAGTTGATTAATCTACTGTTTTTATTTATTTATTTAGGCATGCGTATGAATCCGGGTCACAACCAGGTTACGATGAGCACCAACAACAGAACAATCATAACCAGTACCATAACTCTTATTCGCCGGCAGCGGACATAACACAAAGAAGTGCATCAAATCCAACAAAAAAACGTAAACAAATCAGCAAAAATTAATTGTGTTATTGATTTATATTAGATCCTTTATATGCAAATAGTTTTGTGTTATTTCTCCTTTTTTTTTTTATTTTGCTCAGAACAGTATATATATCACTTTACCTCTATAATTATCTTCAGCTGTATGTTTTTTCTTTATTAAACAATATTAAATAAACCGATAGAGCAATTTTTTCATGAAAGAATTTTTTTTTTCGAGAAAAACAAAAAAAAAATTGTAATATTTATTCGAAAGAATCGATAGAAAAAATCAAAAATGACAATCGAAAAAGACATTCTTTTCTTCTTTTTTATTTCTTGATCGAAAAATAGAATAAAATGATGAAAATCATTTTTAATAATAAACAATTTGTATTATTAACATCAAGAAAATCTGAAAACAATGATAAGCAATCATAGTCATTAATGAAGTAGCATTGTTTGAACTTCTGTGTTGACTAAAGTATAACAAAAAAAGTTGTTATGAACGGGTACGCTGAAAATTTTTAGACAAAATATTTGTTTATTTTGCGTTCTCTTAAAAATGTTTCTGATGAGTGAAAAACTATGAGTTACGATGCTCTTTCCCAATGTAGTCTTAGGTCAAAACTTTCATCACATCTGTTATCCTGTACACTATTCTATAAACATGTATACGCTAATTTATCTTGTTAGAAATCATCGAATATAAGAAGTAATACGAAATTCATATGATTCGGGTTCTCATAAAGTAAAAATCAGTCATGTTTTTATCTTTCGACTGAGCAATTTAAAAAATTGAGATCTAAGGAATCATATTTTCTAGAACTCTTAGATGACCGAAAGATTATGCTAACAGATGTTATCGGAAGACTGATTAATCCATAAAGTGTTTTTCTTCTAATAGACTGATGAAATTCAAAGAAAACAAATAGAAATCAAATTTCAGATGTTACAGCAAAGACATATTATCGATGAAATAGATTCATTTAAAGTTTTAGATCGACATTTCATTATGATTGTTGAGATGTAATAGATTAAATATTTAAAACCACAGAATCCTTCCGTCTCGGATTTCTATAGTACAGCTTATTATAAATATTTGAAATTTTCAGGAAAGGTAGATTTTGACAAGTAGAGCAAAGATTATCATTCTGGATGCTGTCTTCTATGATAGATTAGGATAAAAATGATGAAAACTGATCTCACCAGTTTTTCCGTAATGCTATTTTAGATTAAACTGAAAACTATTTTACAAGCACTAGACACTGTATGGGATAGATATCTCTTCATATTTTGTTCTTCAAATAAAAAAATCCAAATAACGAAGATTTCCTTAAAAATTATGTTTTTTCTGAATAGAGCTTCTTTTTTTTGTAAGAGCTATCAACAGTCATCGGAATAATATTTTTTGAAATAAAAATAACAATGATAAACGAAGAGTAGCATTTTTACCTGTATAAATTAGATAAATTCTATGTTTTTATTAAAAGAATAAAACAACATATTTTTAATTATATTGAAATTAATTGAATCGAAGCTTACATGAACGATCGTTGCAGATTTGTTGTCATCATTCGTTTTTATAGAAGTTATGGCTTGTGCAAGATTATCCCAATCTTCAAGTATCATATATTGAAATGGATAACTTATTGATATATTATAATAAGAATATTTTTTAAAATTTTCTTTGCCGATAGCATGACGAATTATTTTTTCACAATTAATTATTTTACGAGCATCAAACATAAGTTCAAATATATGTTGATCTTGACAATATTGATCAACATATTCTGCCATTGTTCGTATGATATCTGTTTGACCTATTTTAAATCGAATAGCTTCTTGAAATTTAATAACGATAGATGGATTTTGTTTTTCATATTTATCAATGAAACTAAAAAGTAAAGAATTTTTTTCTTTAGTAAATATTTACCAAAACAAAGAAATCAAAATATTTTATGCTATTTACTCTTGACGTTTTTTCATAGCATCTAGAAATTCATTATAAGTTATATTACACTCATTCTTTTCTGTCATAATATCTATTGGTTCGAAAGCTTGATGTTGGACACTATAACCAAAAAACAAACGTAAACTCATCTTTTATGAATCTTTTAGATATGAAAATATAATAACGAACCAAGAATGTAAAAATTTATCCATAGAATGACCTTGATTAGGATCATGATCAAAATAGGCTAAATATTCATTGAAGATATCAGACGTTTTCATTGAGGTACAGCAAACTTTATAAGTATGTGCACTTTTTCTATGATGTACAATCATTGGATGATCGAGTTTAGTTATATAATATGATAATCTATTTTTAATTTGATTGATATCTTTTTCAATTTGATCCTGTGGTACAGGTTTATTGTCAAGTTTTACTTGGATATTTTTTTTCACTTGATCAGTTACTTTATTCCAAGCATTCTAAAAAAAATATTTTTTTCATATGATTTTTCATTTAAATATAATATTTGAAGAGATTAAATATGAAATTTCGTATGATGATGGATATTATTTACATATGTTTTTCAAGCCCCCCCTCCCTCAAAAAAGTCACTTTTCGTCAAAATCAACGAAATTAAGATAAACGCAGGGAAAGATAGCCCGTCATCGGATCTCTCATAAACGATAAAAATTTTTATTCGGCACGTTCTTTTTCAAAAATCTTTTAAAGGTTTCCTTCATCCCTTATTCGAAAAACAAACTGGCATTGAAAAAACCCGAAAATCTTTTTCGATTTTTCTCATTTGATAGGTTCTCGATCGCATCTCCAAGATTTCTCAAAGGAGCTTCATTGTAGCCAATAGTTTTTGTTTGTTTCAAACAACATGTAAAACTGCAGTGCCTATAAGAGCCAGTTTTTTTTTTATTAAGATTTGTTTGTATTATATATACAAACCTTTATATAATTACAGCGCCATTTTTTGAGAGATTTTTTGAGTCATTGAACTTTCGATCCCTTTTTTCCCTTAAAAAGTAAGAGTTTAAAAAAATGAGCTCTCATAGGCACTGCATTCTGACATGCTCTTTCAAACAAAAAAAAATATTAAATGTATAAACTGAAGACCACAGAGGAATTTTGGAGATGAAATCAGCTATTTTTTGACTCTTGTTTGATCAGTATCTCCGTCAAACGTCATGGTACAGGGCTGAAAATTTTACCATAGCCATGGTTCATTAGTCCCAACATATCTTGAAAATTTCATGCCATTCGAACGTTCCTAGCCTGAGATCGAATTTTGAGGAAGGGGGGGGGGGGGCCTTAAGAAAAAATAATTGAAAAAATAAAATCCTTTTTTTGATTCGACTGAATAAAATTTAAATTAGAAAAATGAAAATTTTTTGTTAATATGGAGTGCAATAATTATCTTAAGTAAAGCATGCTCATACTTTAACAGGAACCATTAAGCTTAAAGCTTTCTGTTGAAATGGTTGACTTATTTCTTTTTTAAATTTATTATAATTTTCATAGAATAATGTATTACTAGCCAATAATGAACGATAATATATTTCACAATCGATTAATTTATATGGTTTCCATAATAGAATGAGAGCAGAACCACAAGAATCATATGTTGCAATATCATAATCATAAACGATATTATTTACATCAATTGATTGTAGAATTGCTTGATCCAGCAATTGCATGCCACTATTATCATTTATTGTATTGTTTTCTGAATATAAATCAGTAACTCTATTAAAAAAAAGAAATTCATATTTAGTATTTTTCTTTGAATGAAAAAACCTGTCAGTGAAATCCCTACGGCATTAAAATACAAAATACGATGTAGCTACTACTGTTCCTAATTGCAAGAGGACTGCTTGATTCTATCTATTGTAGGACATACATACTTCTTCACTATCCTTTGACTAAATCCTCGAGAAATGCAACAAGAAAATAGTTCGTACATTAGAACGAAATATTATTGCATGTTAGCGTCTGCCACAGCCTGTAGACAGGAAGGATATGGGTTCAAATTTTTAATTCTGTATTTCAACGTTCCTTTTAGATTCTATTTCACAAAAATGCTATAAAATATAGCTTGTCATTATGACATTCAAAAACTCGATGTTTTCACATTTAGATAAAGTTTTAATCTTAGATCTAGTAGTTTACATACACTGTGGTTAATTGTCGAGCTTTTTCTAATAGTTGTAAATCAAAGTCACAATCTGACTTATCATAACCTATCATTCTATCAGCACAGTCTTTGATTATTTTCATTTGGTCGTCCAATAAACCGTACGCATCGACATATTTTTTTAATAGAATTTCATCTGATCTTAAATCCCATTGGCAACATGTTAAAAAAGCCTCAGCACGTCGTTGATGTTCCTTAAAAACAGGTTGGAAACTTATTGATACAAATGGATTGAATTGTTGTGCGATAGCTTCATTATCATTTTTGATCATTCGTTGAAAATCTTGTAATAGATCTGAAAAAAAAAATATATACTGGGTTTCATGCATCTATCGGAAGAAGAAATGAAATCTATATTTTTCTTAAATTTTCAAAAAGATCCTTTTTCTAATTTTTTTTGTATGTTTACTAAACGAAATTTATTTTTCAATGCATAAAATATAATTAATTTTTTTTCTTCCTCTTTTATCCTCCTTAGGATGTAGTCTGATATAACATGTGAATTGGGCCTTTGAAGAACTTATAAATTCATAGACCATATTGGAATCCGACATGATTGCACGCTACGACATTCAAATCCAAGTTATGTTTATGTAAAAGATTGATCAAATATTCTAAATCACTTAAATGTACTGTAGTTAAATCAATTCCTATAATAAGGATTACAGTCGACGATGAGTTCTATTTTGTGATACTCAATATCTTGAACATGCCAAATAGTTTGAGTAAATTATATGAAATAATTTAATAAGATTTAACCATCACTCGATTAACAATTTTATAATAGATGTTAATTATTTGTTGAACACATTGTCTTTTTAGGAAGATTGTAGTAACTGACTAGCATTAGAAAATACAAAGATAGAATAGAAGCATCATGACAAA